CTATATCATTGTGATGTTTATTATGAAAATGGTGATTAAAAAATAATAATAGCTATGATACTAATAATGACAGTAATAATATATACGATAATGATATTAAAGATAACAATAAAATGATGATAATGATATTTGATAACGATAACGATACTGATGAACAGGATTAACAATGATGATAATAGGATAATAATGATGATAATAATAATAATAATAATAATAATAAAATAATAATAATAATAATAATAATATAATAATAATAATAATAATAATAATAATAATAATAATAATAAAATAATAATAATAATAATAATAATGAAAATGACTATAATAATAATGATCATAGTAACAATGATAATAATGATAATAACAAAACAACAGTAACAAAATAATGATAATAATAATAATAATAATAATAATGATATCATAATAATAACAATAATAATACAATAATAATAATAATAATAATAATAACAACTGTAACCACATCATTATAATAATGATCCATTATTCAGTAATATCAACATACTGCATTTCCCATCTAAACAGAAAAAAACTTCCAACACTACAGAGAGTACCCCCCCCCCCACTATCACCTTACTCCCTACAAAAAAAGAAAAAAGCCGCTCTCGCACTTCAATAATGCTTCATAAACACATAAACTCACCCTGATGGCACGGTTTATGGCACTTCTTGCCCCTCCATCCGGGCTGGCACTCGCAGGCCCCCGTCACAGGATCGCAATGGCCCTCGTTGTGGCAGTCGCAGGCCAGCACGCACCCGGGGCCAAAGCTGCCTTCGTCACACCCTGAGGCAGGAGGAAGGGGGGAGGGGAGTGTGATGAGGTAATAAAGGCTTTATGAGGATTTATTCTTTTCTTTTTATCTCCCCCCTTTTTTTTTCTTTTTTTTTTCTTCTTTTTTTTTACAAGGTAAGAAGAGTTTGATATATTTTTCGTAATAAGGTAATCTGGATTCTATAAGGACATATATTTATCTAAAAAAAGGATTTAAAGGGGAAACTTATTTATTCTTAATAAGGTTCTTCCATATATTTTGGACAAAATTGAATAAGGACGTTAACGGGGATAAAATGCATTTGCGGATAAGGTAACCAATATAATATCAGGATTTATATGTTTTTAGCAATAAGGTGATAATGATTCTAAAGGGATAACATATTTCTGGTAATGGGGTAATCCGGATTATACGAGGATTAATATATTTTTTACCTTTTGGGCCGCAGTTTGGATAGGAGGATAACAAGGTAATTAGGATTTTATAAGGATTAATATCTTGCTGGGGATGATTTTATTGTAACTGATATTAGGTTTATATATGCGTTTGTTTGTTAATTCTTTTGTTTATTTGTTTATCTATTTATCTATTATATGGATACATTCAATTCGCTACGCATTTATCAATTCAGCTTTCTCATTAATTTAAGTATTCATTCATCTATCAATCTGTTTATCCTTTTTTATGTATCTGTCTGTTCATTCAAATATCAATCTGTTCAGTCACAAATTCATAATCTATTTATCCTTATAATTATGTGATTATACTTCGGTCACCATCCAGCCCGGACCGACACTGCGAGGACTTGCAGTGCACCGCGCGGATAATATGCATAGAGCAATGCATGGACATGTATACATATTGTTACATTCAGTTAGCCCCTTACACACTGACCTGTCTCGCAGTATGTGCCGCTGAAGCCAGGTGGACACACACAGGCACCTGTGTCATGTTGACATGTGGCACCGTGTTGGCACAGACACGTATGCTGACAGTTGCTACCGTACGTTCCCTTGGGGCATCTGTCTTGGCATGTGGCACCGGTGTAGCCCGCGGGGCAGACGCAGGCGCCGGACGCGCGGTCGCAGGTGCCCCCGTTGTGGCACAGGCACACGTGCTCGCAGTCGCTGCCCCACCGGTCCACGGGGCACGCTGCGGCACAGGAGGCAGTCGCCATTGAAGTCGGAGGTCAACTCTCGCAATTATTCATGATCAAAGTTATGTTTATACTCAGCCATCGTGATGCACACTAGAAAAATAACTTACTTTTAGAGCAGTGCTGCCCGTGCTTGCCCGGCGGACAGACGCAGGCGCCTGTGGTGGGGTCGCAGGCGGCGCCGGCGCTGCAGCCGCAGTGATGGCGGCAGTCTTGCCCCCAGAAGCCGTCGGGGCACGGCCGCGAGCAGAAGGTGCCGCGCCAGCCTGCGGGACATCGACAGTTTGTGAATACACACACACACACACACACACACACACACACACACACACACACACACACACACACACACACACACACACACACACACACACACATACATATATATATATATATATATATATATATATATATATATATATATATATATATATATATATATATATAATGTATATATATATTCATAACTTATGTGTGTGTGTGTGCCTACGCACACTTATAATCCAACAAGATTTAAAATATTCACAGGAATGCATCAGACATCTTGACGCAGGCCAGGAGGCGGCCGCGGCAGTCCCTCACCTGGCTGGCACATGCAGGCCCCGGATATGTGGTCGCACTTGGCACCGTTGGCACAACTGCAGTTCATGGCACAGCCTGCGCCATAGCTCCCCTCAGGGCAGGCTGGGGGAGTTAAGAGAATGGCGAAGGTCACAGAGGAAATTCATTGAGAAAGTGAGAGGGCATTGGTTTCGATGACGATACTGATAATAGTAATACATTGATAATGAATCCAATAGTATTAAATTTCGTTTACGTCGATTATGAGAAGAATGATAGTGGTCATATGAACAGTTAAGATAATCCTATCAATGATAGTACTTATCACATATGCCATTTTTTCCTCATTATCATCATGATCACTCTTATAATACTCACGCAGCGTGCAGTGCGGTCCCCGCCAGCCGGAGGCGCAGTTGCACTCGCCGCTCACGCGGTCGCAGCCGCCGCTGTTGTCGCAGTCGCACATGTGCACGCAGTCCGGCCCGAAGCGCCCCAGGGGGCACGGCTGCCCGCACCGCTGCCCCGTGAAGCCCGCGGCGCACTCGCACCTGGGGGCGACGCCAATGATCAGTGGCCATTATCTGAATGGTTATCTAAAGTGCTTGTATGTATGTATGCATATAAGTTAAAATGTGTATCTATATACAGGTTGACATTTAAAAATCCGGCCATCGATAATCCGGTTCCTTCAGATTTCTGGTTTTGATTTCGGAGCGCATTTCCACATTTATTCTGGAGTCGCCGTTCATGTTTTGATAGCGCTGTACTCCAGAATCAGCTGTTGGGTCTCGCACGTGTAACAGGGAATCCTGCTCATTCCTCACTGTATCATATCATGCTGCTGCATAGCGCCATGATGGATTCAGTAAAGAAAAGAGGAGGTGTAAAGCATAAACACCGTACGTTGTCGACTGCACAGAAAGTGGAAATGCTAAAAAATATTTATGTATATATATATATATATATATATATATATATATATATAATATATATATATATATATATATATATATATATATTATATAGTTCAGTTGGTGAGCATTAACATTTCATTTGCTTTTCATTTAGTGCTTAAGTTTCTTTCTTTAAAGGACTGTACACGTATTCACTTTCAGTTGAATATATACAATTATATAAACGTAGAAAATACTCCTAAGGTCCGGAGGTTATGCTGAAATAATATATATATATATATATATATATATATATATATATATATATATATATATATATATATATATATATATATTAATATATATATATACATATATATACGTATGCACATTTGTTTTCTCATACCAGTGCATATCAGTGATAGGCATATAAACTAATTGAATATTAACAAAAGTCTTTCAGTGTCGATCATGAGATTATGCCAATCAGAAATAATCCTAAGAAAGTATTTAAAGAACCTTACTGAACACTTAGCAAGAATACTTAATCTTCGTCTCTATTTATTTATTCACTCGTTAGAAAAGCATCCACCTAATCTTATTTATATACAAAGTGTCTAATCTTTAGTTAGCCAGGGATTGGTCACTAACCAAGTTACATTTAACGAGCTCTATCTTTTTCAGCTATCAACAAATTCTTTCCTAATTACCCGAAGGGAAGTGGCACCTTCGAGGGGAAAAAATGGCCGCTTTCAGACACTGCAGCTGCTGATGTAAACAAACAAAGACGGATTCAGGGGTAACTTCGATATCTTGCCGGACTTGTTTTTGGAACAATAAACAAAGCATTGTCGACAGAGAAAGAAGGGTGGAGCGATGCGAAGGAGGGAGGGAGGGAGAGAGGAAGAGTAAAATGGGGATATATAAAGATGGATGGTTGGATGGATAGATAGTTGGATGGATGGATGGAGGGATGGATGAATATGTAGATAGATACATAGATACACGAACCTTGAATAGAGAGAGAGAGAGAGGCAGAGACAGAGAAAATGCACCGGGTAGTGAGGGACATGGCAAACAACACCGCGAAAGAAAAAAGAGAACGAAAAAAAGCAAACTAATTAGCGATCTCACACTCACCTTCCCGTAACGTGGTGACAGGCAGCACCGTTGAGGCAAGTACAGGTCTCACTGCAGTCTTTGCCAAACCTCCCAGGGGGGCACTGCGCCTCGCACGTGGGTCCCTTGGGGGAAAGGGGGGGGAGGGGCTATTACGCAATCTAAGCATTGTTTTTTTAGGTCACATTTGGAGAATGTGGCGTAACGTGGTTTGGAGTATGTCGGCCAATTGAAGTCAATATTTTCAAATTAGATTTTCCTTCAAAACTGATCAAAAGCTCATTCTTTGAGTCGGTTCCTCAAATCAGTCAATCCGGATATAAATACCACTTTTTTCTCTGGTCTTGTCTATATAGGATACACAAAATATAGCGCTACCTATGTTCATCGCTTTACCGATGTCCTGATAGGAAAAAAATGAATACATTTAAATATCATCCTTATCATCATCATTAACCTAATTATCAAAAGCGAACCAAACCATCCTTACCGTGAACCCTGGCCTGCAGTGGCACTGTCCGCTGACCCTGTCGCAGTTCCCTCCGTTCTCGCACTGGCACTTCTTCAGGCAACTTTCTCCCCACAGGCCATCAGGACAGGCTGGAGGAAGGCGGGAGAAAGTATCGTGTATTTCATTTATGTTTTGGTCAGTTTTGAGTATTCGTCGTTTGTTGAGGTTGGACGCTTTAGAGGTTCTTATGATCAGATTTGTCTTTACTGTCGCTCTCGCGTTCTCTCTCGCTCTCGCTCTCGCTCTCGCTCTCGCTCTCGCTCTCGCTCTCGCTTTCGCTCTGTCTGTTTATCTATCTATCTACCATCTCTTCATCTCTGCCTGTCCCTTAATACCATGTACAGCCACCTACGTTGCTCGCAGGAGAGGCCGTAGGTGCCGGCAGGACACAGGCAGGCGCCGCTGACCGGGTCGCATGGCCGCATCCCGCACATGCACACCTTCATGCAGCCCGGGCCGTAGTGGGCCTCGTCGCACGCTGCAGCCGGGGGGAGGAAGCAGAATAAGATTTCATTTCATTCTAAACCAAGAGGATAGAATACCCAAAGGGATGTGACATAAACTATGGATATGAATAAAATTCCTTATGTGCTTTAAAAGAAAAAGAAAGAAAAAAAAAAAAAAAAAAAAAAAAAAAAAAAAAAAAAAAAAAAAAAAAAAAAAAAAATAAATAAATATATATATTATATATATATAATATATATATATATATATATATATATATATATATATATATATATATATACATATACATGCATAAATGCGTGTGTATTTTTTTTTTTTTTTTTGTATGCGTGTGTGTACAATATATCATGTAGGAAATTTTACTATGTCTATAGTTATGTCATATCCATTGGATGTGACTCATGAATGAATAAATAAATAATATATATATATATATATATATATATATATATATATATATATATATATATATATATATTTATATTTATTCATATATACACACATATACCTACACGCATATTCAAATTCTTACTAAACAGAGCCCAAGGAATCCCCGCCCCGCAACCCACCGTCTCGACAGTCGGCGCCCGTGAAGCCCGGCGGGCAGTCCATGAGGCAGGCGCCCGTCGCCGGGTGGCAGCTCGCCCCATTGGCACACTGGCACTCGTGGTTGCAGCCGGCTCCCCAGCGGCCCTTGGGGCACTCCTCGGAGCAGTCGACGCCCACGTAGCCGGGCTGGCACTCGCACACGCCGCTCTGAAGGAAAATCACGTGACGAAAAATCATGAAAGTAGCCGCGCTGATGGACAGTCAAGTAAGAAGGAATTCATGGCACTTATGTCTGGCCCAGAAATCTCGAACAAGCCAAACTCTAGAGAAAAATGTACCTCAGGGTGGCAGCGGGCAGTGGTCTGGTCGTTGCACTGGCACTGGTGGCGGCAGTTGGCACCCCAGGTCAAGGCCGGACACGGCATGTTGCACTTGGGCCCGAAGCGCCCCGGGTCGCACTCGCAGAAGCCGAACACGCGGTTGCAGCGCATCGAGGGGCACATCATGGGGCACCGCCGCTCGCAGGTGTCGCCGTAGTAGCCTGTGGAAGGGGGGGGGTAGGGGAATGGGCGATCAATCGTGCCCTGTTTGCTGTCAGTTAGACCTGTCTCACCATCACCTGCACGCGCTGAATGAGTTTGTTTGCTATTTTCCAATGAAAAGGTGTTCTCTGGTTCAGTCGTCAAAAGACTTACACCCTGATTCATCGTTCACTTCACTCCGGATGTGTTCATGTATCCATTTGTAATAAACCTATAAATCCATCAATAAATAAATAAGTAAATATACATCAAACAAACGGCGTGTGTGCGGTCCCTTACCGGCCGGGCAGCCATCCTCGCAGAATTCTCCAGACACGCCCGGAGGACAAGTGCATTTGCCACTCACGGCATCACAAGTGCCTTCGTTCTCGCACCTGCACACCTGCAACGAAAGGAATGCTCGTGATACTATGGTGAGCCAAAAGACTTTTCTTACCGATTCTGCTATTAATTAAAATCACAAAATGATAATACTAATTCAAAAGAATTTAATGCCACATATTCGAAAACGAACGCATGATGAACCTCGCTTTCGCTTACCTCGTTACAGCCTGCACCGTAGAAGCCTTCGGGACAAGGGACACTGCAGGTCGGCCCCGTCCTGCCAGGCTCGCAGAGGCAGCCTTCGCCCTCCTTGTCACATTCCCCGGGACAGTCGCGGCAAGTCAAGGTGCAGTTCGGCCCGAAGTATCCTGGGACGCATCCTTATGGGGCGAGGAGAGGACTCATTGCCATGTGGTCATTGCGCCACCCCCCCTCGCTCTCTATCTCTCTCTCTTTCTCTCTCTCCTCTCTTCTCTCTCTTTCTCTCTTTCTCGCTCTCGCTCGCTCTCGTCTCTTTCTCTCTCTCTCTCTCTCTCTCTCTCTCTCTCTCTCTCTCTCTCTCTCTCTCTCTCTCCTCTCTCTCTCTCTCTCTCTCTCTCTCTCTCTCGCTCTCTCTCTCTCTCTCGTTCTCTCTCTCTCTCTCGTTCTCTCTCGTTCTCTCTCGTTCTCTCTCTCTCTCTCGTTCTCTCTCGCTCTCTCTCGTTCTCTCTCGCTCTCTCTCGCTCTCTCTCGCTCTCTCTCGCTCTCCCTCGCTCTCCCTCGCGCTCTCTCTCGCTCTCTCTCTCTCTCTCTCTCTCTCTCTCGCTCTCTCTCGCTCTCTCTCGCTCTCTCTCGCTATCTCTCGCTCTCTCTCGTCTATACATCTAGCTATCTTTCTATCTATATGTATGTCTATCTATCTGGATATCTTTCAATCTATCTGTCTATCTATCTGGCTATCTATCTATGTATTTGTATATCATCTTTCTATCTTTATTTCTTTCTACCTTGTTTTTTCTCTTTTCATATATTTCCCTCATCATTATTCATATATTTTTTTTTCTTTTCCCTATCCTTTCTCTTTATCTGATTCCGCTTCTTTCTTTCGATTTCTTTCTCCCACTCTCCCTCGGTCTCACTCAGACTCTCCATCTCTACTTTATATTTTCAAAATCAACACTTAAAGTGTATTATCAAAACGTCAGTTACATATTAAATGGAGTTGTTCATTTTCAGTCATACATTTGTCTATGTGTGACTTTTCAGATTCTGTCTTCCCCCCTTCTTTCTTTCTCCCACTGTATCCTCCCTTTCCTCTCCCTCTTTTTCCCACCGCAACCCACCTCTCCCCTTCTCCTTACCGCAACGTCCCTCTCCCCTCCTCCCTCTTATTCCTTCTCCTCCCCCCTCTTCCTCCCTCCTCTCTTTCCCCTCCTCCCTCCCCTCTCCCTTCCCCTCTCTCCCTCTCCCACCCTCTCCCCCCCTCCCTCTTCCACCCCTCTCCCTCCCTCTTCCACCCTCCCTCCCTCTCCCTTCCTCCCTCTACTCCCTCCCTCTCCCCCCTCCCCCTACTCCTTCCTTCTCCCTCCTCCCTCTACCCTTCCCTCTCCTTCCTCCCTCTACCCCTTCCCCTCCCTCTCCCTTCCTCCCCTACACCCCCCCCTCCTCCCTCTCCCCTCGCTCACTTACGCGTGTGTATGGTCGTGATCCTGGCCTGCTCCGCGTACGTGACGACGTTGAGTGCCTCGTGGGTGTGCGACGTGGCCTCCTCCAGCACCGTGGCGTCGTCCTCGGGGTCCGGCTGCAGGTCCATGTCCCCGCGCGAGCTGTGGGAGCTGTAGTCGTCGCCGTAGTCATAGTCTATCACTGGGGATTCGGACGAAGAGGAGGGATGGATTTGAGTGTTTGAATTTGTTTTGTTTTTCTTTTTTGTTATTCTACTTCTTTATCTCTCTCTCTCTCTCTTTCTCTCTCTCTCTCTCTCTCTCTCTCTCTCTCTCTCTCTCTTCTCTCTCTCTCTCTCTCTCTCTCTCTCTCTCTCTCTCTCTCTCTCTCTCTCTCTCTCTCTCTCTCTTACTCGGTTAAGATGTTAGAAATATATTGTTTACAGTGATATTGTATTGTTGAGACGTGGAAGAACGAAGCAGATTCAGAAAATTGTTGAAACAAGAAACATGTACAGTATAAGTTGGTATGTCTGTGTGTGTGTGTTGTACGTACACTACGTAACATGTTGCATAATGTGCGCAAATTATATGAAATGCGAACACGTTGATTTAATCACAGTCATCTAGTCCTTGTCTCCAGGAGAGTTATCATAACATTTCCAAAGCAAATGACCATGTTCCATCTGAGACAGCAGTTCAGCGAAAGAAAAAAGAGTACATGTAGCTAATGGAAAAATACTCCTTGAATTAACGTCTTCCATTTCGCTAAAAGGTGGACTTAGAAAAAAAGAAGTAATCTCAAGTAATAGTCTCCACAAAACAGCTATCTGCCAAGAGAAAGACATAAAGAATTCGACGCCTGATAAAGCATTCCCACTGAGCCAATTATCCTCACAGCCATTAAAGCTTGCTCGGTGAAGATAACCTTTTAAAAAATGGCTGTTTTAGATGTTTATCGGACGTGACATGAAGATATTATGGTAATCCCCACTAAAAGGTGCTATCAATGCTGGCAACAGAGGGTGCGGTACTGCCATTTAACATTGTGCGTGTCTCTTGGGGTTTACAACCGTCGTTAGTTGAAATGAATGGAGGAAAAAATGAAAGAAGGGAGGGAGGAAGGGGGGGAAGAGAGTCGAAGATAAATACGAGAGAGAAAGGGGGTAGAGGGAGAATGAGAGTGAAGGGAGGGGAAGAGAGGAGAGAGAGAGGGGGGAGCGGGAGAAAAAGAGAGAGCGAAGGGAGGAGGGAGAGGGGGGAGAGAGAGAGAGAAAGAGAGAGAAAGAGACAAAGAGACAGAGTCAAAGACAGAGAAGAGACAGACAGAGTGAAGGAGACAGAGACAGTGACAGAGATAAAGAGAGAGAGAAAGAGACAGAGACAGTGACAGACAGAGAGAAAAAGAGAGAGGCTGTGACAGACAAAGAGAGAGACAACGACAGACAGAGGAAAAAAGAGAGCGAGGCAGAAAAAGAGAAAGATATAGCGACAGACAGAGAGACAGAGACAGACCGAGAGAAAGAGACAGAGGCAGACAGAGAAAAAGAGACAGAGACAGTGATAGACAGAAAAGAGAAAGAGAGAGAGGAAGTGACAGACATAGAGAAAGAGAGAGAGACAGAAAAGGAGAAAAAGACAGCGACAGACAGAGATAAAAGAGAGAGACAGTGGCAGACAGAGAGAAAGAGACAGAGACAGACAGAAAAAGAGAAAGAGACAGCGATTGATAGAGAAAGAGTCAGAGACAGACAGAAAAAGACAAAGAGACAGCGACAGACAGAGAAAAAGAGAGAGACAGTGACAGACAGAGGGAAAGAGACAGAGACAGACAGGAAAAGAGAAAGAGACAGCGATAGATAGAGAAAGAGTCAGAGACAGAAAAAGAGAGAGACAGCGACAGACAGAGAGAAAGAGACAGACAAACAAGCAAAGAAGGAGTATGAAAAAAACTCGCTAGCACAGCCAAGCAGAGTGAGAATGCGAATCAGAGACGGACGGAAGCGAGCAAGAATAACAAAAAAAAATAATAAAACGTAGTGAAGAAGTGGTGAAAACGAACGAGCGAGAACGAGTCCCACACTTACTGTCACAGTGCGTCAGGTCGACCAGGAGGTAGCCGGGCCTGCAGGAACACGCGAAGGATCCCTGCGAATTCCTGCACTCGTGCTCGCAGCCGCCGTTCTCCTGCGCGCACTCGTTCACATCTGGGGGAGGAACAGGCGTGGCAGGCTATAGATAAGTTCATGTAATCTATCATGTTTTTTATTATTCATTTGTGTGTCTAGTATATATACCACACACACACACACACACACACACACACACACACACACACACACACATACACACACACACACACACACACACACACACACATATATATATGTGTGTGTGTGAGTGTGTGTGTGTGGAACGGCCTCCCCCGCCACGAACCTTCGCACGAGAACCCGTCGGCGCTGAGCGTGAAGCCCTGGCGACAGGCGCACACGTATCCCCCCGCCGTGTTGACGCACTCCTGCTCGCACCGGTGGCTCCCCGTCTCGCACTCGTTGTCGTCCTGCGGGAGAGAAGAGATACATTACCCAATTTTCCTCCGGCAGACGCCTTCAAAGGAGGAGAATCTATATCCACATGAAAAGTCTTGCAAGAAGATCCACCTAATTTAGCCTGACGGAAGGTCTCAAAAGGAGATGAATCCGACGATACATCCACTATTTCACCCGCTGGGGCGCGCCCTCGTCCTCACCTGACACGACCTGAGATCCGGCTGCAACAGGTAGCCGGCGTGGCAGCTGCACTCGGCGCCTCCTGCAGCGTGGCGGCACATGTGCTCGCAGCCGCCGTTGTTCTCCAGACACGAATTTATGACCTCCATGTCGATCACTGCGGGAGAGGAACAGGGCTCGATTGAGGCAACCGCTGGAGGGGGGAAGGGGGGGGTAGGGGCGAGGTGGACGGCAGAGTGACGGAAAGGGGTTCGGCCTGGTGCAGGGGCCTTGTTTCCTAAGGTGCGTCTGTCTTGCCCATTATCTGTCTATCTGTCTGTGTCTGTCTGTGTCTCTATCTGTTTTGTCTGTTTTTCTGTCTGTCTATCTATTTTAGTCTGTATGTATATGTGTATATCTGTATCTGTTTGTCTATCTGTCTCTTTTCCGCTTTCTTCTCTCTCTTCTCTCTCTCTCTCCCTTCTCTCCCCTCCTCTCTCCTCTCCCTCTCTTCTCTCTCTCTCCCTCTCTTCTCTCCCTCTCTCTCTCTTCTCTCTCCCCTCTCTCCCTCTCTCTCCCTCTCTCCTCTCCTTCTCTCCTCTCTCCCTCTCCTTCTCTCTCCCTCTCCTCTCCTTCTCCCTCCCTCTCCCTCTCCTTCTCCACTCCCTCTCCTCTCCTCTCCACTCCCTCTCTCTCCTTCTCCACTCCCTCTCTCCTCTTCTTCTCCACTCCCTCTCTCCCTCTCCTTCTTCCACTCTCCCTCTCTCTCCCTCTCCTTCTCCACTAATCCCTTTCTCTTACTTCTCTCCTCTTCTCTCCTCTCCTCCATTTCTCCTCTCTCTCTCTTTTCCGCTTCTCTCATTCTCTCCTCTCTCTCTCTCTCTCTCTCTCTTTCTCTCTCTTCTCTCTCTCTCTCTCTTTCTCTCTCTCTTCCTCTCTCTCTCTTCCTTTCTTTCTCTTCTCTCTCTTCCTCTCTTTCTTTTCTCTCTCTTCCTCTCTCTCTCTCTCTCTCTTTCCTCTCTCTTCCTCTCTTCTCTCTTTCCTCTCTCTTCCTCTCTCTCTCTTCTCTCTCTCTTCTCTCTCTCTCTTTCTCTCTTTCTCTCTCTTCCTCTCTCTCTCTCTTTCTCTCTCTCTTTCTCTCTCTCTTTCTCTCTCTTCTCTCTCTCTCTTTCTCTCTCTCCCTCTCCTCTCTCCCTCTCTCTCTTTTCTCTCCCTCTCTCCCTCTCTCCTCCCTCTCCCTCTCTCCTTCTCTCTTCCTCTCTCTCTCTCTCTCTCTCTCTCTCTCTCTCTCTCTCTCTCCCCTTCCTCTCCCTCTCTCTCCCCTCTCTCTCCCTCTCTCTCCCCTCTCTCCCTCCTCCTCTCCTCCTCTCCCTCTCCCCTCTCCCTCTCCCCTCTCCCCCTCTCCCCTCTCCCCTCTCCCCTCTCCCCTCTCCCTCTCCCCTCTCCCCCTCTCCCTCTCCCCTCTCCCCCTCCCCCTCTCCCCTCTCCCCTCTCCCCTCTCCCCTCTCCCTCTCCCCCTCTCCCTCTCCCCTCTCCCCCTCCCCCTCTCCCCCCCCCCCCTCACTTTCCCCAATTCCTATTCGCCCCTCAGATGCTTATTTAGACCAACGCACGCCCAAATAAGCAGAGAGCCAAAGTAAGATTACGTGTAGCAATGGGCATCAATAAATCATTTGTTGCATGCAATTGACCAGAATGATAAAAACGCTCTTAAATTACACCGAAACGATAAGCTTTTCTTTGTTGTGTTCTTAGCCTCTGCCTTTGTTATCATTGTTGTTGTTCTCTGGTTCGCACGGTGCCTTGCGAACTCTATAGAAGCATTGGTGAAGACGATTTGTATAGTATGTGTGCGGTCCTTTCAATTTAGATGAATAGCATTATCGTTTTATTTTCATTCTCAATATTCCTGTATTATTTAGTATTACTATTATTATTAACAATAGCAGTCAGTGCTGATAATGATTTTCTTCTTCTTCTTCTTCTTCTTCTTCTTCTTCTTCTTCTTCTTCTTCTTCTCTTCTTCTTCTCTTCTTTTCTTCTTCCTTCTTCTTCTTCTTCTTTCTTTCTCTTCTAGATACTACGCACTATAATATTCATTAGGAGAAAAACATCTTTTTACGTAAAGCTTAATTGAGTACATACGTTGACATACTTCGCGCAAACTGCATTTCCCCTTAAGAAAAGAAAGAAAGAAAGACGTTGACAGACATTCTGTTCCTGTCACTAACACGATTACGTGTCTCTCCAACAGGCCAAACTCGCTGGGTTTTTGCGAGTAGAGACAAAAGCGTCTTTGCGGTGCTATTTTTGCAAAAATGTACTCACCGTAAAAAGATAGAAATTGAGAGAGAGAGAGAGAGAGAGAGTGGTGGAGGTAGATACATGGGTCGTATGAAAGTTCTGCTTGGGATTCTGAGCTGCGGTAGGAACCCTTTCTTGTGGGCGGATGTCAACGGTACTTATACAGTAGCGTGATTAATGGCCGCACTTTAGCGAGGATATGGTGTTGTAGCGATGCCTCTTATACGCCCTTAGTTGTTAAAGAAGGTACTGTGACAGCGACATTTACTTACTGTAGCAAGATTTGTGGTCGGTTCCTAGTTGATAGCCGGTGTTGCATAAGCATGTGTAGGAGCCCCAGGTGTTGCGACACTGCTGACTACAGATGCCTGGCATTTGACACTCGTCGACATCGATGCAGTTGCGCTGGTCATCGGCCAGCTTCAGGCCTTCAGGACAGGTGCACTGCGGCCGCCTGTCCATGGCCTCGCACCTGTGCTGACATCCCCCGTTGTCGACCTGACAGGGGTCGACCACCTCGCAGCGCCGACTGTCCCGACCCAGGCGGTATCTGGGAAGGAAAGGTTGCATTCAGGTGCTTGGGTCAAGGAAACTGGGGAAAAGATTCAGCATTCAACTGAATCATTTAGGAGATAGTCTGTAGAAAAATTAATAGTATTAATCCACTCGAGAGGGGGTCCGTGCGCTCCATACAAAAGCATAACCAGCTGATCTTACCGAGCAGCAACCACTGAAGCCGAGTTTTTCATCACGGATAAAGCCCATGTTCCTGGTTCTACGTATCACCACTTCTTACTCTGTATCACACGAAAAATATTTTTCCTACATATCTCCAAGCAGTTCCGTTCAGCCCAGGTTAAAATCGTAATCCCTGAGATCAAAAGCCAAACCAATTAGTAACATTCAATCAGAAACATGTTAAAACTCGAAGATTTATCGGTCTTTGACGAACCCCGCGAACACAAACTGTTGTGCCGAGAGTCACGAACCCTTTTCACCGCAAAGAATTGCTTTCGTATAAATTAGCGTTTAGGTTTTTGAAAGGAAAACAAGCCGATTTCATTAACTAAAAGCAATCTCGATCTCCCACTCTCATCCCTGAGTAGAAAGACGTAACCGTGAATGCAGTCGAACAAAGGAAATACCGAAAAGACAAAGCGAGATGTAACGGCTACCCTTGTAGCCCTATTTTCAAGAATCGTGCATTTACGCTGCGGCCTTTGGAAACTCTAAACGTAGACCCTAAGTAGTACCTCTTTGACCCCCAGGTGTTCGTGGGCGCGGAGTCGGGAATCAGCGACGGCCCTCTCGCCGCCCATATCGACATCTTGGGCGTGTCAGCCGACACTCCAGATCACGGGATGCTTTTATTACCTGCCGCCACGAGGGGTTATCAGCCGCCTCACGCCCTGATAAGAAATGCCTAAAAACGAAGAAGAAAAAGACCGCGGGAGGGGGAGGAGCGTCGGCCCATACAGCGCAATGCGGACGGCGAGAATGATTTACCTCCGCCTGTTCTCGACATTTAAAGGCAGCCTTATCTCGGGCGCACGGGTACCCTGGCGCCGGCACCGCGGGGCCGTATCTCTCTCCGGACACTTTTTCTTCTCACGATTTAGGACCGTAAGGCAGTATCGACATTCTTTGAGAAATCCTCTCAAGAAGGTTTTTTTTCTCAAACTCGCTCACGCCCGCAACCGCAAGTGAGAACAAAGATACCCGGAATGATAAACTGTTTAGAGATTGGCAATTTGCATAACGCCCTACATTGATAAACTGCACAGGGCTTCGTACAGAGACACAGAGATACTGACAGACAAACAAAAATAAATATCTACCCACACAGAGACACAAAAGGCTACACCCGCGGAGGATAACAAGCGCGTGGGATGCAATGAGCGCCATAAACACGCCGTTTGGAGCCGCAATGACGCTCTCTGCCGCCTCGGCTTTCGGGCGGCGGGACGCGGCTCGGGGAAGGCGGAAGGAAAATAACACCGGCACACTCACACGCACATTTTATTTTTTTATTTTTTATTCATTTATTTATTTGTACAGGCATCTACGTACATATATTTGTTCTCGTAGATATTCGAGTTTTTCTTGAATGATTTTTGGTGGTTGGGTGTACAGTTGAAATGATTATGGTACGTAGAAATATATATATATATATATATATATATATATATATATATATATATATATATATATATATATATATATATATATATATATATATATTATATATATATATATATATATATATATATATATATATATATATATATATATGTGTGTGTGTGTGTTGTGTGTGTGTGTGTGTGTGTGTGTGTGTGTGTGTGTGTGTGTGTGTGTGTGTGTGTGTGTGTGTGTGTGTGTGTGTGTGTGTGTGTGTGTGTGTGTGTGTGTGTGTGTATGTATATACATTAATCCATTCATGATTAACAAAAATTGTAGACTATATTATCAACTACGTATTTGAGACCTTGCACCGTGATCGCTGGTGTTATCCCGTTTTCAGACAAGGTCTATATAAGTACTTATATATAGACCTGTTTTCAGATGCCGGTGTGAAAGGCCTTAATACCATATGTCGATATAACTTTAAGCCATTTAATTAAAAAACACTGGCGGACGTGTTATGATTTCATTTCACTTCATTGCAGGATTGATATTTTGTTATAAGTTTTGGAAGTTTATTCCTAAAGTTTATCTCCTCAATGCAAGTTTATTGTTTACATACGGCCGGTTTGTTAAAATTGTGCCAGGCCCGACCCAATGAATTTTCATAAATACAGACGCAGAAATACAGGCATATCTGTCTATATATCTGATAAACATACATTTAAATATCTATTTGCCCGGCTGATATGCAAGTCTAGCCTGATAAATATGCATTTATTTTTTATTTATGCATGTCAAGTATACGAATATTCTTTGGGTCGGACCTCGCACAATTCTAACAAATCGGCAGCTTGAGTTTACTGAGAGTGAATTCCGAAAACACGTGATTCCATTAATCAGATTACTCTAGTATTACGTAATCTTTGGTAATTAAAAAAATGCACGTTATTCCTAATGTGTGTGTGTGGGGAGGGGGGGGGGATGCGTGCGTCCGTGCGTGGGTGGATGGTTGGGTGGGGTGGGTAGGGTGGGGGGTGGGTGGGGTGGTGGGGGTGGGTGGGGTGGGGTGGGGGTGGTGGTGGGGTGGGGTGGGGTGGGGTGGGGTGTGGGGTGGAGGGGTGGGTGGGGTGGGGGGGGGTGGGTGGGGTGGGGTGGGTGGGGTGGGGGTGGGGGGTGGGGTGGGTGGGGTGGGTGGGGTGGGGGGTGGTGGGTGGGGTGGGGGTGGGGGGTGGGGTGGAGTGGGTGGGGGTGGGGTGGGGTAGGTGGGTAGGGTAGGTGGGTGGGTGGTGGGTGGGGTGGTGGGGTGGTGGGGTGGGGTGGGTGGGGGTGGAGTGGGTGGGGGGTGGGTGGGGTGGGGTGGGGTGGGTGGTGGTGGGTGGGGTGGGTGGGGGTGGGGTGGGGTGGGGTGGGGAGGTGGTGGGTGCGTGCGTCCGTGTGTGCGTGTGCATGTTAGCTTCTCTGCTCTGATATCTAAGACTCCTCCCACATTCCCTTTCCTCAGCATTCACCAGGAAAACTTTAAGGGCGTGGGAAATGAGGCTTAGAAGAACCGCGAGGTGGGCGGGAAGGACAAAGAACGAGGACGGGGAATGGGGCGTATCTCACTCCAAGGGGCGAGAGGGGGGGGGTTGACAGCAAGAGAGTGTGGCTGGACGCTCTAAGGAGGGGGGGGGAAGAGGAAGGGGAAGGGAGAAGAGGAAAAGGGGGAGGGGAGAGGAGAGGAGAAGGAAGGAAGGTGGGAAGGGGGAAGGGGAAAAGCAAGAAGGAGGAACGGGGGAGGAAGGAAGAGAAGTAGGAAGGGAAGAAGAGTGGAAGTGGAGAAGGAGCAAAGAGAGGAAGGAGGAGGGGGAAATAAGAGCCTCTGGACATCGTCACAAGTAATCATTTCCGAACGGACGCGGCATCGCCTCTTGCTTTATCGCCCTCGCGCTGCCATGCGTCTTCCCCGCGCCCTGCCATTACCCTGTCGAGGGTGACGAAAGAGTAGCGCCAGGGAGACGACAGGGGGATACTCTCGCGCAGTCTCGTAAAATCTCGGACGTTCTCGCCGAAGCAACAGGCTGCAATTACACTCGCGGGACTTCGGGCGTTATCGCGGTTATCGGGCCATGAACATTTTGGATTTGCGCCGGGGTTCCGCCCGGGATAACGCGCGGATTGAATTGGGCGGCGCGGAGAGTTCAGCCTGTGCGAAAAGGGATGCTGCAGGCCGACCCCGCCCGAGATTAGGGCAGAGAAGGCGCAGAAGGAGGAGAAGGATGCTGAAGGCGAGAAATGCTGTTTTGTTGTTGTTTGTTCATAATAAAGTTGATAATAATCATAATTGTTAGTACCACTATTCCCTTAACATATTTTTGCTTACCTTATCCTTTCACTTCTCCGAACACAACAATAAAAATCATATCATCTCTATTATCTCACTCACTCTATTATCTACCACTATTATCTTATTCTATTATCTCACTCCCTCCGTTATCTCACTTACTCTATTGCCTCACTCACTCTATTCTATTATCTCACTCACTCTATCATCTTACTCTTTTATTTCCCTCACTCTGTTATCTCACTCACTCTATTATCTCACTCACTCTCTTACTCTGTTATCTCACTCTATTATCTCACTCACTCTAGTATCTATTCTGTTATCTCACTCACCTCACTCTCTGTCACTCATCTCTCAGGTATCTCACTCATTCTGTTATCTCACTCACTTTATCTCACTCACTTTATTATCTCACTCAGTCTGTTATCTCACTCACTCTATTATCTCACTCACTCTGTTATCACACTCACTCTACAATCTCACTCACTCTATTATCGCACACAATCCATTATTTCACTCACTCTATTATCTACCTCTATTATCTTACTCTATTATCTCACTCAATCCGTTATCTCACTCTCCTCTTTCCCAACCCACGACAAGGGGCGCACTCACCCTCGCCGGCAGGAGCAGACGACCCGGCCGGAGGAGTCGTCGCAGTAGTGGTCGCAGCGGCCGTTGTCCACGTCGCATCCGCCGGTGTCTGGGGGGGAGAGGGAGTTAAGGGCGGCTGGGATTTCTCTCTACTTTTTCCTCTCATTTTATTTCTCTCTCTCTCCCCTTTTCTCTATTTTTTCTCTCTCTCTTACTGTAAATCTGTCTGTATAGCTGTCACCTTTCTTTCTCTTTCTCTCCCCTTTTCTCTCTTTTTTATGTCTATTTTTGTCTCTAGCTATTTGATAATTTACCTCTCTATTTGTCTGTCTAGCTCTTTGTCTATTTACCTGTCAGTTCTTCAGTCTGTCTGTCTTTCTCTCTGTTTGTTTGTCTAGTTGTCTATCTATTTTGATACGTCTCTTTATCTGTCTAACTCTGTCTGTCTAGTTGTCTGCCATTATAACTGTCTCTCTCATTCTGTCTACCTGTCTACATTCTATCTGCCACGCTGTCTGTCTGTCCCAATATCTTACTATCTATCTATCCATGAATCTGTCTGTCTATCTATTTATCTAGCCATTCACCCATCCCTCTCGGTTTATTTCCTCTACTCTTTCCCTCCCTCCTCCCACGCTAGCATGATCAGAGTGAAAACCAGTGCCGGAGAGCGCCAGTCCTCGAGCGGCGCGCACTCACCCAGGCACGTCCTCCCGTCGGGCAGCAGCCTCTGGCCCTGCTCGCAGCGGCACTCGTACGAGCCGGGGTTGTTGACGCAGCGGTGCGAGCAGCCGCCGTTGTGGAACTCGCACTCGTTGATGTCTGGTTGGGAGGCAACGGGGGAGGGTCAGGGCTGAGCTGGCAGGGAATTCTTGCTTGGCTTGTGTATTAGGTAAGTATGGAGATACAAAAAGTTTCAAGGATATACAAATTCATACGTGCACATACGTGTGTGTGTGTGTGTGTGTGTGTGTGTGTGTGTGTGTGTGTGTGTGTGTGTGTGTGTGTGTGTGTGTGTGTGTTGTGTGTGGTGTGTTGTGTGTGTGTGTGTGTGTGTGTGTGTGTGTGTGTGTGTGGTGTGTGTGTGTGTGCGTGTGTGTGTCTGCGTGTGTGTCTGCGTGTGTGTCTGCGTGTGTGTCTGCGTGTGTGTGTGTGTCTGCGTGTGTGTCTGCGTGTGTGTGTGTGTAAAACACGCACATGTCTGTGTTTACACTAATATTTCCTCATTGAGTTTTTTTACTAGAAAATAATCTTTCCTTTAAGCGCAATCCAAAATTAGACATTGCGAATTTCACGCTTTACCTCCTCGCTCTCTACACAAACATCATGTCTTTACGCAGAGCAATAACTGATGCGTGTTGCAAATTGCTAAATGTCAAAAGGAAAAGCA